CCTTGTGCCCCCCCAGCCCCTCGCTGGTGGGGTGGGGTGAGAGGCAGAAAAGGCCTTGGCTCTGTGTCAGCCCTGCTCAGCAGTAAGGAAACCATCCCCGTGTGATCAACGCTGTGTCCAGCACAAATCCAAACCATAGCCCCGTATACCAGCTGCTAGGAAGAAAATTAACCCTGTCCCAGCCAAAACCAGCACATTCTCTGTCCCCCATGCTCCCCCCCCCTCCTTTTTTTGAGATGTTTAGCTGCCTGCCAGGTTAAACCATAACGCTGTCTTACCCCAGCATCAGCTTTTCTGGGACTATGTGGTTGACTGTACGAGGAAGCTGATTAACATTACACTGGTAATTCCAGAGGTAGTTGTAACCTGGAACACTTTGCTGTCAGCTTCAAAGCAGAGGGACTAAAACACCTTAATATTTATTCAAAAAGGCATTTAAGCACATGCTTATCTTAAGCCTGTCCTCAAACCCTTTGAATATAAGTATATAAGACCCTTCCTCAATGTGGGTAGAGTAATTAATATGCAGATGAACTGTTAACTATGATTTTCTTTATCTCAAAGCAAACCTTGCACATTCATGATAATTTTTTATTTCTTCCTGCTTTTACATCCAACTGGTTTTGTGTCTATTAATATTGCAGCTTTTTATGTAAGCGAAAAAATAAGTCAAAACCTGCAAACATGTCAGAAATGTGATTCAACAAAAAGCTGGTTCACACAGTCGTCATCTAACAAGTTTCTGTTGGTGCTTTATATAATTATTTTCAGTCCATCAGAGTAAAAAACATGAACATGTGATACCCTTTTTAAGCTTGTATTTTGAATGTTTCAAGTTGACGTTTACTTTATTGCAGTATTGTCTAGCATATGTTCTAAGCTAAATTAGCTGACAGGGAGAGATAGGATAAATGCAACAGCCTTTCATCTTTCTCTCAGGAAAATTCCTTGAGCAGAAATCAGCAATTACACTACCACAAGCCTTTCTTTGAATTCATAAAAAATACATGTGAGCAACTGACTCAACAGAAGGAAGTCAGAATAACTGATGGAAGAATCTCTATGAACCTAGATTCATAGCACGACAAAAAAACCC